TTTCATTCTTGCCATGCTGGTATCAACCTCAGGGCCTTGAATATGCTAGGCGAGTGATCTACTACGGAGCCACATCCTCAGGGTGTTGCTGCCCTTGAGCTCTAGATTCTCCTGCCTCTGCCTCCTGAGTGCTGAGGTTACAACCAGTGCCACCATGCCTGGTGCACCATCATCCCTCTTCTAAGAGGCATGCAGTGTTGTCATTACAAGGAGGGGTTTGTATTTGAATCCTAACTCCTTACTTATCAGAAGGCTGACCTGGGGCAAGTTACTAAAGTTGTCTGTGCCTCAACTGTCCCACCTGCAAAATGGGGGTAAAATGAGCACCTGCCTTGTATACTTGGTATGACCAGAGCTCCACTGGCCTACCAGTTAGCAGCTTCCTCCCCTAGTGCGTTTTTGGCTTGCTCTCCATGAGTTTTCACTTAGCCCATTTACCTGTGTGACCGGTCACTATTTTTCTAAATGCGTAAGACTGCAGGAACTTCCATCTGCTTCACCGCTACCACTGCTAATTCAGACCTTACAACTGGTTTTTAGTAAATGGAAGATGCCTAGTGTGTGAAATTCTGAAAGAATAAAGTTGGACTTTTTTTTTTTTAAGATATAGCAATGATGAGGACAGTCTCCATAGCAACAAACTGAAGATTCTGAACATGTGACATTTCAAAGGCCATGGGTGCTGCTGCTAGGCCACCCTTTCAAGATCAAAGTTGCGGCTCTTTCTATACATCAGAGGGTGCCAAGCTTGCCGGAGCACCTCCTACCCTCCAGTACAGGCAGGCAGGAGCCATGATCATGTGCAGGCCAAGGGTGACTTAAGGGCCCGGTTAATAAGGAGAGAGCAGACTCAAATTCTGACACTGCACAACAGCTCCCTAGATCTGAAAAGGGAGCTGAGCTGTCTGGCCTCACTTTAGCACCACCCAAGTCTCTCAAGCAGTTAGCTTTCCCTCTTCCATAGGTACGCCTTCTGTGCCAGATAACTTCCTGCTGTCACCAAGAACTACAGGAGACACACTGGACACAGAGAGCACCCCACCTTTCCAGCAATCCACCTCTCCAGCAGGCCTTTTTTGCTGCATTTACCCACCTGAGGAGAAATGGGAACCGCCTCTTTGCCTCTGGCTTTCACACCACCTGCAACTTTCTCCTTACTGTGCCTGGCTTTTTTTATTATTTTTTCAGATGGGGTCTCACTATGTGACCCAGGCTGGCCTAGACCTTGAGATCCTTCTGCTTTAGCCTCGGGGGTGCTGGGATTTCAGGCATGATCACCACACCCAGCACTGTGTTTGTTTATAGTGACTCTTTGGAGTTGTTTGCACTCTAGCCAGAAAAACAACAGTTCACCATCACTTGATTGTGTCTTGACAATCCCTTGACAACTGGCCAAGCCACTGAAGTTCCTTAAGCTTAAGAGCACTCTCCTGTCTACGCACATTGTGCCATCCCTCCTTTAAGAACCTTTGCAAACCACCTGTGGGTCTAAGAACTCCTGGGAACATCTAGTCCTTGCCCCTGTCATCTTTTTGGCCCCAAGTGGCCCCACATTCTGGCTCCCAAGCCAGCACTCCAGAAGCACAGACCTGGGATGTTCTGCCACCTTGCCCTAACATCCTGAGCCTCCAACTTGAGTGTCCCTAAGAGTCCTGAGCACACCTGACACCATGGACCTGCCTCTACCTACTGCTCCCCAGCAGCAGTGGTTGTTGGAGCAGGCATTGGTGACTGGACCATTGCTACTCTATAGATGACAATTAAAACCACAGGGGTGATGACACTGTCCAGGGGAAGCACAGAGAGTGAGCAGAGGATGGAGCCCAGATCTGGAGGCCACAGACCTCCAGGGCAGGTGGGAGAATCACTGGAGGAAACAGTGATTGTTTCCTGTGGCTAATATAAAAAATGACCACAGTTTAGTGGCTTAAAACAGCACACATTTATGCTCTCACACTGCTGGAGCTTGGAAGTCTGCCATGGTCTGCAGGGCCGCATTCCTCCAGGAGAAGCCAGGGAGCATTCATTTCCCTGCCTCTTCCAGCTTCCAGAAGGAACATCTGTCTTTTGCCTCATGCTGTCCTCCATGTTCAAGGCCAGCAGACAGCATCCTCAGATCTCCTTCTCTCTGTTCCTCTGCCTCCAGTCATCATACCACCTTCTGTCTGACTCTGTGTCCCTCTCGTGATGATCCTTGCAAGTCTGTCTGGCCCACCTGGATAGTACAGGACACGCCCCATGTCAAGATTCTTCACTTGATTACACCTGCAAAGTCCCTTCTGTTACACAAGGTCACACCTGCAGGTGTCAGGGACTAGGAGATGGATGTCCTGCTTGTGTGTGTGTGTGGGGGGGGGTTACTTAGCCTGCTGCAGAAGCTAAGAAGGAGGAAGCAGATGGAGAAGTAGAGATGACAGTCGTGGAAGTCAGGGGAATGTGAAGAAGGATGCAATTGTCAGGGAGAAAGCCAAGGACAGAGAAAGACATCAGGAGAAAGGGATGGAGAGCAGGGTCTTTGCACAGTCTCCACAGATCGCTAACTGCGTACTTCTACCATAGAGAGGGCTGGCTGGCACCATCGAACATGGCTCGCACTGAGCATGTTGTGACCCTCCACACAATACCCAGCACCCCCCACCAGAAGTATGCTAGAGACCTGTGGATCTGTAGGTTTCTCACATTGTCCAGGAGACTGTGTCATCAGTCAGACTGGGGACTTCGAGGGAACAGGGCTTCTGAAGAGACATTGCAGAAGGGAGATCTGTCCTGTGCCAATTTCACAAGTCTAAACCAGGTCTGAAGAAAAAGCTACCAGCAAGGAATTGGCCCAGGGTGAGGCTGGGGGACTCCTGGGAGAGAACCCCAGCGTGGGACCTGGTGAGAGGTTCTGACCTTACCAGTGCTCAGACTTTGGAGAGCAGACGAGTCACTGGCTGGAGCCAGTGTGACTAGCTGTGCAAGCACAGGCAGGTTATCTGACCTCTCTGAGCTTCCATTTATAGGTGGAGAAATCTAGCAAAATAAGGGCCTAGATACTCTCTTTCTCTGCTCACCCCCCCCAACCCTGGCTGGTCTCAAGATTCTCCTATTTCAGCTTCCCAAGTGCTGGAATTACAAGTGTGAGTCACTATATCCAGCCTTTCTTTTTTTTCCTTTGAAACAAAACCTTTTATTTGAGCAAAAAATGGCGCAAGAGTCTACACAAATAGTTAAAAAGGAGCTGGCTGCTGGGTGCAGCAGGAGGAAGGGCCCAGAGCTTTCTACTGCTCCTCCCCCAGCCCCCTTTGCACCCACAAAGCCCCAAGTCCCTATGAAGACCATTTTGACATTCCTGGGCTAAACTTCCTAAGGTTCTGTCAGACACTAGCATGCCAGCAAGTTTCAAATGAGGAGGAAACAAAAAATGTTCTTCTCAGGAAGGTTCCAGAAGGTCTCTGGCTTAGTGAGCAGGACAGAACACCCTATGAAGGACAATACTATGAAAGGCTGCCTCCAAGCTGGAGTCTGAGTGCACTGCGATATTACTGACTCACTTAGGACAGCCTGGTCTTCTAGTCTCCATCATCCATTGGAGCACAGCAGTCATTCAACTCCCTGCCTACTGACGTGCTGATTCTCTGGGACGGGGAACTTACAAGACACTGCAATTTCAAGGCTGTCACTAGCAAAACACCTACACTGGACTGGGAAAAACGAAAGCTGTGGCTACCTGCTCCTGTGGTGCCCCTGGAGGCACAATGACGGCTTTATTTTCCATTCAGATGTTCTATTCCAGACTGTAGTTATCTTAAACAAGACAACTAAAACAGTGTCTGAAGCTGTTGCCAGGGCAACCTGACAAAGGACTTTGCCTTCAGCTACCATTATATATAGTTTGTCAAAGGCAGCTGTGTACAGAAAGGGAAGAGAAAGGGAAGACCTGCCACTCTGGGTCCTGGAAAGAAGTTAGAAGACTCTCTTTTGATTAAATCAAGTTGTGTAGAGCAGGGAAGACATCCTAATCAGTGCAATAAAAATGCAGAAAGGTCAAGCTGGGAGAAGCCTCCAACTTTTCTCTGGTGCTCTCTGCAGATAGATAAAGGCCTCACCTAAGACAAGTAAAGTAGTTACATCTAAGCTTGTTGAAGACCTAAAGCTTAAAGTTTGCCTTAAGAGGAGGGATGAGGGAAAAGGAAAGAAATGGAAGGAAACATCCAGAACATTCGAGAAAGTATAGAGTCCCACGTGATAATGGGAGTTCTTGACATGTCTGATAGCTCTTCTCTCACAAATCCTAATATCCCATGATAGCCACCTGTAATGAGACCAACAACAAAGAACTGGGATGACCACAGAGTCCAAGTTCAACCTGCTTGTGGAACGAATGAAAAGACTATGGTCCATGGAAGACAACATGCTCTCAGCTGCAATGTTGAGAAAGGGCAGAGCTAAGCCATGGTCTTTCTACTTCTCCAGTGCCTCACAGAGTGCTGCGTTTTAAGGACCCCAAGAAATACCTGCTTTGATCTTTTTTTTTTTTTAAATCCTGTGGGGCCCCACTTAAAATTAAGTAAGTGAAAAATCTGTTAGGAGAAAAAGGCTGGCAATCACCTGTCTCGACCTTGGGAACATACTAACGCCACTGAACTGGGTGCTTCTTCTCGAGCCAGGGTCTCTCCATGTAGCCCTGGCTGGCCCGGAACTCACTGTAGCTGAGGCTGGCCTCAAACTCATGACCCTCCTAACTCTGCCTTCCAAGTGCTGAGACTACAGGTGTGAGCCATTATAGCCTCACAACTGTAAGCTTGAAGATGCTAAATTTTGTCTTTAAAAAGTATTTTCTTATATGCCTATAGAAATGATAGTATGTAAATTCTATGTTACTTATTTAAATTAAAAAGCCTCAACACCCCTTTGTCCACACAAGGGTCCACTAAGACAAGCGGTGTGTCATGAGAATGGGACATAGCAAGGCTCACTCGGGTCTTTGTCTCCACCCAGGGCCCCGGGGCCAGCCTTACCGAGTTGGTGCCGAGGATCTGCAGGTTGGGCTTCTCCGACTCCAGCAGCTTGGCCACCATCTTGAGGAAGCTCTCCACAAAGAGGTTAATGCTCTGGCAATGGCAGGCCATGAGCAGCTGGTCCAGCGCCTCCATGGCGATGCACACGTACCTGGGGGACAGCGGCCTGGCTTCACCCGCTCTTGCCCCCCTCTCACCCCTGGCTGGAGCAGCCAGGTGTCAGTGCAGTGACCTCGTGGTGAGCACAGGGTCAGTTTCCTTCCAGAGACTGTCACAGCTGCCAGGGTCTGGGTCACGGTCCAGCAAGAACCCACTCCCGCCCAGATCTGAGAGTGACTTAGAGCTGCAAATGCTAACGCTGCCTGAAGCGTTAGCATTTGCAGCTCTCAAGGCCAGGTTCATATGCTGTGTAGACAGTGAGTTCAAAGATTTATTCTCTATGTTTTGATCCAAATCATATCCATCTTTGAATACTACACGGGCATTTAAAAATTCTTGATTTGTAAGATTAGCCTTCTTAGTCTTTGTCTTTTTTAAAAAAACAAAGTTTGAGTAAATAAAAAGCAAGCACAGGAAGCATGACTATAGGACAATTTTTGGAACTATCACAAGGCCTCTGTGATTGGCAGCTGCCCAATTCCAGACCTTGTGTGGCCAGACTGTCTGAGGCAAATCCAATCATATAAAGTAACAGAAGCCAGAGCAAGGGCTGGTGGCACACGTCTGTAATCCCAGCTCTCAGGAGCTGAGACAGGAGGATTGAGAGTTTGAGGCCAGCCTGGGATATATGGTGAGTTTCAAGCTTTAGGCCAGCTACATAGTAACACTGTGTCTCAAAGCAAACAAAAACAAACAAATAAAGAAAGGAACAGAAGTCACAGTGTCTTCTAATGTTTCTTAATAAGACATCAGACACCATTGCACAAACTTTTATACAAAACAACCATTTTTTAAAAACCTGTATGATTAGAAATTTTTCTTTCCACTTCTGTTTCTTCAATCTGTATGAATAGAGCCAACTATTATTAAGTTATTGTTTAATTATTTTTAAAGATTACTAAACAGTCATCTCTAGGCATAGTCACAATGGATCAAGTCATGCTCTTATCTATAATGTCTTGTTTTTTATTTGACAGTACTGGGGCTTGAACTCAGGGCTTTGTGCTTGCTAAGCAGGTGCTCTGCATCTGAGCCACACCCCAGCCTCCACAGCTCCACAGGTCTTTTGCATACAAAGTGGCACAGGATCAAGGCTCTCCTTTGCTGAATGAGAACCTACCATCCCTCCCTGCCCGGGATAGACATCCCTGGCCTTCCATTGCTTTGACCTTCAGAGACCACCATAATCACAGCTGGGAACCATGCTGAGCCCTGCAGAGCCAACACCAGCATGTCGCTGGTACAAAGCCTGAGTCCCAAGGTTGGGGAAGCAGACTGGCCTGAAGCCTTGCCAGAGGGAACAGACTTTCTCTGCAGAAACCTCTCTCTCTCTCTCTCTCTCTCTCTGTCTCTCTCTCTCCTCTCTCCCTTCCTTCCTTCCCCTATTTTTCTTTCTTTTTGCCAGTACTGGGGTCTGAGCTCAGGGCCTAATGCTTGCTAGGCAGGCACTCTACCACTTGAGCCAGTCCACCATTATTCTACCAGCATCTCACCATTATTTTACAGTTTAAATAAGGTAAATAAAGGAAAGGGTGGGGTGGGTGGGGCTAGGCAAGAGAAGAAAGTAGAAAGTCTCCCAAACCCCAGACCCTAGATTACTGCTTTTCCGTTTCCTGAAAAAAAAAAAAATTTCAGAATATCCTGATAAGCAAAAAACATCCTTTGCTTAAAAAAAAAAAGCTACTGAAATTTTGATGGAGATTGAAAATTATGTAGAAGTGAAAGTTGAAAGTAAAACATAAAGTATAGGCCAAGCTGGCATGGTAGTACATGCCTGTAATCCCAGCACTCGGGAGTCTGAGAATGGAGGAGTGATGTTCCAGGCCACCGAGACCCTATCTCAAAAGCAACAACAAGAAAGTATAAAGCCTAGTTCTTCAATCTCAATACAAAGGATGGCATGACTGTAATTATGAACTTGAATTTTTCAAAGAATCTTAGAAAACTGAAAGCCAGGGGGACCTTGGAACCAACCCCCAGGCCAATGATCTCCACGCTGGCCCTGCACTATCGCCACTTCCCCAGTGTGCCCACCTGCAGACCTAGAAACTCAGAAGTTGTAGAGCATGGCATTCTTGGGGTGATGGCCACTGAACAGCACCACGGTGGCCAGGTTACCATCAGCAGGGATCTGGGGGCTAGTGTCCTGGAAGGAGCTCACAGTAGTAACAGGTCTGGAAATCCAAAATGGCCTAAGTGGGTACGGTTATGAAGAATCTGGGTCACAGAGGAGGGAGGAGCAGGGACAGCCATAGAGGCAGTTGACACCAGCCCCAGGTGTTCCAGGAGTGCATCCCCATCCTGGTGAAGAGGGAAGAACCCAAGGGATGTGATACACTGTAGCTTGTGGACAGCAAGGAGGACAGGGGAGGACACTGGGCAGATACAGTGGGAGGAAGTCAAGGCCAGGGACCACTAATGAAAATGACCAGAGGGCCTCCTGCTTAGAAGAGAGGCAAGAAGTCCATGACTGGTATCCCAGGAGAGGCTGGCTTTGCTTGAACACCTGTGCTCAGTAAGAAGTGGCCCCAGGAACCAGGAGCACCTCCTAGGGAGGAGGAGTGGGATGCACAGACTACAAACCACATTTAGTTGGACAGGAAAGGCCAACCCAGGGTCAGAGACTGGGAGCAGCAGGCAGGAAGAGGAGGCAGTTTTAGGAGAGTCAGTCATCACCCAAGAATCATTCAGTAGCCTTGGCAAAGACCCTCTTATTCTGGGGCAGTTTGAATGTATTTGGTCAGCCCATTGCTGGACAGAACCTGCTGGGTTTGGGGAGCCCAGAAGCAGGGGTCTGTTTTTAGCTAAGGAAGGGAAGGTTGGCCCTCCCTACCTAGCAGGAGCCTGCAGAGTTCTTGTTTGAAGGGTTAGCCTGCCCTTGCCCCCAGACTCAGATCCTTCTCTTAGGAACTCTGCTGGTTCAGTTCCTGGCCTGGGTCCTCAGGCTGTAGTAGCTTAACCTTGACCAAGTCCTCAGGACTTGGCCTTGGGCTAGGTGAGAGCTCCAGGCACCAGGAACCCTGACAATGTCTAGTAGGGTATCATGCATCCCGTGATGCTTAGTGGCCATTGCAGACTGACCGGAGTCTCACTCAGCATTGCCTCCCCATCCCCATTCCTCAGTTTCCAGGCATGTTCCAGTGGTTAGGCTGAGTTGGAAAGGAAATGCATGAAGAGAAAGGAAAGAAATAGAAGGAATGCTGGCTTTGGCTGCTCTGCACATCACTACCAATCATGTGTCATGGCCAAGGACAGCACCTTGAAACTCCCTCTTAGTGCTCTCTGCCCACATCTGATGACATCCTTCTGATGCCAGACACTCACAATCCAGGACCCCCATACAGCTAGAACAGGGTGGCAATGCAGGGAGACAGTGGCCAGAGAACAGTTCTGCCATGGGAACCCATATCCCAGGTTCAAGTCCATAGGATCAGACCATAACTAGAGACACCTGCATCACAGCAGGGCGACTCAGCCCCTCCCCCTGCCCGCGTGGGAGTATTCTGCTCTCCCAAGGCTGCCAACAGTGACAAAGATATGTGTGGTGTCAGGCAGGAAAACACAAGGATGAGCTCTCACAGATTTTTCTTCTCCGAACGTTTATGATTAAAGTCCTCCGTGAGGCCTTCAGGCTTTAAATACCCAGATGCTGCAAGGGCTATTTTTAACAGGGCGATGGCAATTTTGAATTGTAATTCTAAGGGCAGTAGAAGGATTTTAAATGGCTCTTCTGGCTGCTGGGCATTTCTACCCAGAGAACCATCACTGCAGAGGGGACAGGCAAAATTAGTATTAAATGTTTAATGCTATAGCTGGCACATTCGTTTTAGGTTCAGTCTAGGATAACGTCATTTTCACTTGCTTGAGGATGCTTTACAGTCTGTCTTTATGTAATCAGTGCAGTGCAATCATGCCTCTCTTCTTATTCAGTGTGTAACCTAATTTCATTATATAAAATGTCATAGAAACATAATAGTTTACATTCTGCTTTTACACTAGGGGTAGTCTGATTTAAGATTTGTTAGGGCTTGGGTATAGCTCAGTGGTAGAGTGCATGCTTGAATACACAAGTGCCTGCTTTGCAAGTGTGAAGCCCGAGTTAAAACCCCTGTCCCATCAAAAGAAAAGAAAAAAAGAACTGGATATATTTTGTATAGCTACATTATTGTATTTATGTATTTAGTTTGTTTAATTATTTGAGTGTTTTGTTTTGTTTTGTTTTTGCTAGCTAATATACTTAACATAGCAATGAATGTCCTTCCTTGTTAAATGCTTTCATAAACCCAACATTACCTCTTTGGATAAATTCCTTTTTATCCAGCATAAAAATAATCTCTAGCACACACAAAAAAACTAAAAAGTAAAGATTTGCTGGTGGGCCCTAGATTTTCTGGACCTGAGCACTCTGTCAGGCAGTCTGTCTGGAACTGGTTCCACAGCAGACATGGCAGGTATGGTGGGCACGACTGGGTCAGGGGCAGGTTGTGGAAGACCCTAAGGTCAAAGTGAGGAGTGTAAGTTTATTCTAAAGTTACCAAGAAGGTATGGTTTCAGGTCTATGTGTTGAAGATCAAATCTAGACAGGAAAGATGAAAAGTGGGGCAGCAATACCCAAGGCTGCTGTCATCCTGTGAACTAAATGACAGTAAAAATGTGGGGCTGGGGGTTATAGAGCATTTGCCTAGCAAATGTGAGGCCCTGGGTTTGATCCCCAGCACCATAAATAAATAAAACAAGTCTGAAGCAAGAAAAAGGCAGAAAAAGAGGAAAGCGGAAGGAGGAGGTAAAAACTTTGTGCAGATTAAGCCTAAGAGGACTTAAGAACAGTTGCCTGAAATCTATCCAACCCTTGGCCCCATAAGCAATGCCATCTGGACTATCTTTGAGTTCTCTTGCCATTAAGCCCACGAATTGTAGTGTAATGATGGGGCAGCAGCAAGCACAGTATGCCTTGTAATTTTCTCTTTCGTCGTCACACGAGCCCAGTAGGGAATACTTCAAAAACACACAGAAAAAATAAAACTAAACAATAAACCCCACTCACAAAATGAATACTCTTGACATATTGGCCTATTTGTACCACATTTTCTATGTGGGATATTTTGTTGATGTTTACTTAACTTTCCTAAAAATTCTTTGCATATAATTATCCAGTCTATTTTTCATTTTCCCTAAGACATGTTTCATATTACAAGGTAAGCTTCTTTACAAGTGCCATTTTTATTGACTAGATAACATTTTATCAAATGACATATATCACAATTTACTGAACCCTTCTCTTGTGGGGCACTTGAATTAGTTCTGCTTTTTCATTATGCTAAAATGTATTTAAGGTTGATTCTTTAGAAACAGACAAATAGAAAATGGATGATTGGGTCAATGGACATAAGTGGTTTTGAAGTTCTTAACACATATTTCAGTTACTTTCTGGAAAATTTCAACCAGTTTATACTCAGAAAGAGTAAAAACGTTTGCTTTTCAGAATGAGTTTGAGAGGATGAAACCTCAGCGTTTCAATCCTCATCTTTTTTTGATGGGATTGGGGTTTGAACTTAGGGCTTCATGCTTGCAAAGCAAGCAGGCGCTCTAGGGCTTGAGCCATACCTCCAGTCCATTTTGCTCTGATTGTTTTGGAGATGGGGTCTCTCAAACTGTTTATTTGCTGTGGCTGGCCTTAAACAGCGATCCTACTGATCTCAGTCTCGAAAATAGCTAGGACTGCAGGCATGAGCCACTGGTGTCCGGCTCAATCCTTATCTTTGATGACAAGGCTATTGATTATTGTCCTGTATTTTTAGCTCCCCTTCTACAAGTGGCTTTGTGGCCTCTGCCTCAAACTTTTTAGTTTCTCAATCTTCCCACTTTACCCCCAACTATTTATTATTTGCTACTAAGCTTAAATCCTTGTCTTTTTTTATTATTTAATTTGATCTCCTTTTGGTGGTACTAGGGTTTGAACTCCAAATCTTGTACTTGCTAGGCAGGGACTCTACTACTTGAGCCATGCTTCTAATTCTTTTCTGCTTTAGTTATTTTTCAAATTGGGCCTCACCCAAGCTGGCCTGGACCACAATCTTTTATTTGTACTTCCCATGTAGCTGGGATGATAGGCTTGCACCATCATGCCCAGCTTTTTATTGGTTAAGACGGGGTTTCACTGCTTTTACTGGCTGGCCTCGATTCAAAATCCTCCCAATCAGCCTCCCAGCTGAGCCACCACACTCAGCCTGTCTTTTTTTTTTTGATAGTATTTATTTTTGGTGTTTGCCTTTTGAATTTTGATGATTTCTCTTTTACCATCAGAAATACTTAATTTTTTAAATAGCTAAACCTATTGATCAGTCATTTTAAGATTTCTTCTCTCAACATAGAGAGTCCTTCCTTCTCAGATTGATAACCATTTCACCAAAGTGTATTTTTAATAGGCAAATTGCCCCTAACCTTGCCTTCTCACCAGAACCTAGATGGCTCCTTCTCACTTTTTTTTTTTTTTCTTTTTTCAGTACTGGGGCTTGAACTCAGGACCTACACCTTAAGCCACTCCACCAGCCCTTTTTTTGTGATGGCTTTTTCGAGATGGGGACTTGCAAGCTGTTTGCCCAGACTGGTTTCAAATCTGGATCCTCCTGAGTAGCTAGGATTACAGGCGTAAGCCACCAGCACCCAGCTTTCCATCCCAGTTCTTAAGCTAGAACTTTCATATAGAGATCAATGCCCTAACTTTCATATAGAGATCTGGCAAGACTGGGAATTCAGCTGATTGTATATTTGGCAACTCATGGAAACTAGCTGCTTTCAGTTATCTGTGTCTTGTATCTGTAAGAAATTAAGCCTTTTTAAGAGTAATGCAGAGGGGTTAGACAGATTTAAGCACATTATATTTACAGGTAAAATACCAAGGCAGAAATCCTCACTGAACAACAAACAGATATTTAAAAAATGAACGCAGAAATGCAAAACATGTTATGTTAAGGGGAGGGCATTAGTGGAAGGGGGAGGGTAAATGAAGAGGGCAAAGAAAGGTGAATATGGCTGATGTACTTCTTATACATGTATAAATATGGAACATGGAAACCTACTGAAGTTATTTTAAGAAGAGGAAATGGGGTAGGAGGGAGAATAATGGAGGGGATGAACCAAACCAGGGTATAATATATGTGTACATGGAAAAACACATATATTCACAATGAACCCCCTGTATGACTATCATATACTAATAAAAATGTTTTTTAAAAGAACATAAAAAATAAATTAAGTCTTTTTAGAACAGACTCTAAGACTTAGTATCTTGTGTCAATCTGTATTTTGCTCTGAGAGTCTGAAGACCTGAACTTATTCATTTTTGTGTAAGCAAATTAGAACCAATAATTGAAGCCCTTGAAAGGGGAAGGCACTAATGGGAGGGGAAGTGTAAACAAAACAAAACAAATACATAAACAGAAGTCCCATAACCCAGTCCACTGTCATTTCCTCAAAATTGTATTGCTTTGGCCTAACAATGTAATACAGTTTCTGAAAATCTGTCTCCTCCTTCCCCATACGACTCACCCGTATCGATGGCGGCCCACATCACGGATGAGCCTCTCCGAGAGGTAGGCACCAATACGGTCTAGCTTTTCTGGAGCCGAGAGGGCATAGAAGGTCAGCTTCTCCATATTGGTCTTCACCAGGCCATCCTGCAGAAGACAGACAGCTCAGTCACCAAGGCCAGACTACGGCAGAAGGGTTTGAGTCTGGGGGTGGGCTGTAATCCAGTCGAGTCAACATGTACAGATGCCTAGGGATACAGAGACAATTATGGCCCAGTTCCTGCCCTCCAGAAGGTCACCATCTAGCCCAAATGAGCTGGCTAGGAATACATAGGAATAGTAAGTGACCAAAATACATGTATGTGAGGCTGGGAAGTGGCTCAAGTGGTAGAGCGCCTGCCTAGCAAGCTTAAGGCCCTGAGTTCAAACCCCAGTATGGCCAAAAAGCAAAAAGAAACATATGTGTGTGCCTGTGTGTATATGTGTGTATGTATATGCATGAAGGTATATATGTTCATGTAGGTGGGTGTGTACATACACACACGTGTATGTGAGTGACAATGCTTCATTAAAAGCGACTTAGAACTAAGACATGTAGGATATCCACAGGACATAAAGAAGACAGCTCTGCAGCACTGAGGGAATTCTCCAGATGATCCAACCGCCCATTCAGAAGAGGCACAGATTCCCAGGGAGCGAGTCACATACACCCAATCCTGACATTTCTGAGAACACAACCCATAATGCAGTGTGACATGCAGAGTGGCAGCTTGGAAGTCAAGAAGCCAGGCCTCTCATGTGACACACCTAGATACTTGGCAGATGCCAGCGGGAGCTGGGGAGACACATGGGCTCTTGAGCCAACACTCAGGACAGGGGTGCACCTCTAGACAGCAGGCAAAGATTTCCATCAGAGAGTGAACCTTGCAAGGCAGGTGTCAGGAAGACGTTCGTTGGACAGAGACAGCACAAAGCAGGCCACTGCCTTCTGCACACCCTGCCTCCAGAGAGAGCCAATGCCCTCATTCTCATGTCCCTAGTAGCCTCTCCTTCCCAGGGCTGGGACCCCAAGGGGCCTGCCTTCCCCCGACACCCCAGCCTGGATGGTGTGACCCACCTCCGGATCCTCGGGGAAGATGTTGTCAACCAGCCTTTTGTACCTGGGGCGAAGGGCACCACAGCAGCCACACACACCTGGAACAGGAAGGAGAAAAACCCCTGAGTAAAGGATCCTGGTCAGCAGGGGAGACAGGAGCTAGGCCCCACCCGGCACAGTCTGTCAGGGAACAAATCCAGGCTGCAGCGCCAGAGCTCACCCTTCCTGGGGTCAAGGTCAGTGTCTCACACTCCCACTGCTTCCTGATGCCCACAGGCCAAGATATTGACCATTCTCACTTCCTGACATTCCTTGGAGATCAGGTGGTGTGGCGTGTGCAGGGGCGAAGCCAGATCACAGAGAAGCACGTAGAGGGGTAAGGCCTTACGGGTGGGAGCTCACAGAAAGGCCAGGTACTTCCCCACCCTGCCCCCCCAACACACACACACACTGGGACACTGGGACAGGACGATAAAATGACCTCCTGCACCTAAATAACCGACGGTCCTGGGAAGACAGACAGAGCATGGAGGGGCCATTGCTCCCCCTACCCACTCCTCATTTGTCCCTAATTCCCTTTATTCCTTGTGTCTCTGTCTCCCCCTACCATCTTCTCCTGCACCATTTCCTTGGCAGAATGCATCTTTAAGGCTGTGTGGCCATCTGTGTAGGAACAAGACACAAGGAAACAATCAGAAAACTGTTAAACAACACAGGATAGAGGGAAAAGGGTAAGGAAGAGCAGTGGAGGGGGAGTTCATTGACTTAAGTGCAATGCATGTATAGGTATAATACCAAGGCAAAAATCCCACTACCAACAAACAGACACTTTAGCAATGAAGGACAAGAATGAAGGGAAGTTACTAATGAGAGAGGGAGGCTAAAAGAAGCAAAGAAAGTGAATATAGTTCATGTGCTTCCTATACAAGAATGTTTAAACCTGCTGAAGTCACCATAAGAAGGGGACTAAGGTAGAAAGAAAAATAGAGGAGATGAACCAATTCAGGATGCAATACATATATACATGGAAATGTCATAATAAGCCTTGTGCTGGTGGCTCACGCCTGTAATCCTAGCTACTCAGGAGGCAGAGATCAGGAGAATCGAAGTTCAAAGCCAGTCCCGGCAAATAGTTCATGAGACCCTATCTCGAAAATACCTAGCACAAAAGTACTGGTGGAGTGGCTCAAGGTGTAGCCCCTGAGTTCAAGCCCTGGTACCACCCCCCCAAAAAAAAAATAGTGAAATTCTCTGTATAAACTTCTTAAATAAACAAAAATATCTTTTCCCAAAAACAGAGGACAGGAAGGTAAAACAGGTCCTGTCTGGGGGCTGGTATCAGTGGGAGGGAGGAAGATGTAAGGAAAGGGTGTAGGAGGTGAATCTGGTGGAAATATTCTGTACTCATGTATGAAAATGGAAAAATGAGACTGCTGAACTATTCTAGGAATGGAGGAAGGGAGATAAAAGAGAACGATGGAGGGGTGAATTCAACTATGACACATTGTATGAACTTTTGTAAATGTCACAATGCACCCCCAGTACAACAATAATATGACAATATATATAAAGGCTGTGTGGCTCTATGATTGGATATAGGTAAAGACACTGGGCCCTGACTACCATCCAATGTGTCATTCTCCATGGTAGCCCTTTGCCCCCAGCCCAGAGGCTTTGCCAATCTGTGGCAAAGTGAAAAAACTAAGAACAACACAGTGTATTTTTATGAAGATAAACTGATTTCATCAAGGAGACCAACGTAACTTCCTTCCTGACCTCTGGTGCCAGGAGGTGCTGGCATTAGGAAATCAATGATAAAATGAACTCTGGCAAAATACCTCTGGGCGCCACCAAAAGAGCTTTAATGAATAGAGGAAATGAAACATCTGGGAATCTTAGCTCTTTTCCACCTTCTCCTGGGTAGAAGCCTCCTCTCTCATCCCTGCCCCACCTGCCCAGTATGGTGGCAGAGGGGAGGGGGTGTCCCAGAGAGCTAGTCAGGGCCTGGGAAAAGTCCGCCCTCCAAAGAAAAATAAGTGCTCCTTTGTCCCACCAAGAGAAGGTGAATTCTGTGTGTACATGCATTCTACTTGAAATTCAAAGGTGTCCTGGAAAGAGAAGCCCTGTAGGTCACTGAGAAAAAAATGAGTTCCTTATACCCAAACAAAGAGCTCTACACGGGCAGGGAGGGCTGACAGAAGCATCTGGAAGAGCTTGGGTTGGGGAGGGGGCCAAGGGCTGTGTCCCCAGGAAGAGGAAGGAGCAGCAACTGGGATCTAGGGCTGCCTTCAGTATTTAGGAAGTGGCCATGAACTTGGAGAAGTCCAGGGTGCGAGACATAGGCATCAGGAAATTGATTGGTGACCTCACCCCACAGGGAAGCTGAGGGGCTCAGTCTGGTGCCAGGCTCCCTGGGTTTGGCCTGGCATCTCATCTCCTCTTGCCACTGCCCGGGAAAAGGCCTCAGGCCTGTGGCTGGTTGGCAACCTGGACTCACTGCTGGGCCCCAAAGCCCTGAGTTGAAGCGTGTGGCTGCCCTGTTCTCTGCCTGGTAGAGCAGTCAGGGCACTTTCTCCAGGTGCCTTAGTGGGATACCTAAAACAACCCCCTGGGGATGGGTACTATTTTAGCCCATTTTATAGATGAGGAAACTGAGGCATTAAGAAGAAGTTAAGTTACCTGTTTGGAACCCCGCGGTTCCAATAAATGGCAGTGGTTAAGAGTTTGGGTGCTCAGGTCAGACAGGCTTGGGCTGAAATTCCAGGTCATTTAACCCACGTTTTTTCATATTGGAGAAGAGAAGGAGAAGGAGGGAGGGGGAGGAAAAGGAGGAGGAAGAGGAGAAGAAGGTGGTGGTAACAATTGGTGTCCAGGGGACCTCATGAGATCAGACAGTCCACTGCCTTCTCTCTCTTTTTCAACTCCTTGAAGAAAAGACATAGACAACCAGGGAGACAGAGGACACTCTGAGCAGTTGGGGAGTCCAAGCATTGCCTGGAGGAGCAGGGGTTCTGGGGGCTGCCTGGGCCGTGGGCAGCAGCACCCATCCATCTGGAGGAGACAGGCAACATGGCTCAAGGCTGGCAGGGACTGCAGGAGATGTGAGCATGAATCATGCCAGGCTGGGAAGGACAGCCTGAGCAGAGTGACCTAAGACAGGAGAAAGAGGGACAGGATCAAACGAGACAAGAGGAGCATGAGGAAGAAGGGGTAAGTGGAGGGTGGGTTTTCAGGCAGGACACCCAGAGCATGCCTTGAGAAAGGGCAGAAGTCCCCTGCCTGCCTCAGACCCGAGAGGCAGGGTCCCAATACTCAGGCAATGGGCAGGAAGGGGAGGGCCCACAAATATGGCTCTCCTGCCCCCTCTGCCTCTTTCTTCCTATTTTCTCCTTTGCTACTTTCTGTACAGCATCTCACCTCTCTTTTTCTCATTTCTCTGCCACTTCCCTGAGGTCCTCCAAGTTGAAAAGCTGAAGTTTTCCAGTGGCTAACCCTGGTCTCATAAATTTATCAGCATGTCTGAAAACCAAGATTCCTATGTCTCCGTGACCCAATTATCTAATTCACAAGCTGCTGGTAGCTGGCAGTCTTCCAGGGGCACATGCATTTGTTTTTAAGTCTTTTAACACCAAGCTTCCCTAACAGTAGAACCTTCACGACATTTGGATTTCAGTGTAGTTATACAAGGAAACCAGCAACAGGTATCTGTAAACCGTTGGTGCTGGACTTTTGCTTGTCTGCTTACTTGCTTTTTGTGTTGTGTGTGAGTGTGAGTGTGAGTGTGTGTGTGAGTGTGAGTGTGAGTGTGTGTGAGTGTGTGTGAGTGTGTGTGTGTGTGTGGTATTGGGGACTGAACTCAGAGCCTGGAGTCTGCTAAGCAGATGCTTTACCACTTAGTTATACACACCGGCAGTTTCTTTTTTCACATGGGGTCTTGAGGTTTTGTGGGAGGTTAGGAGGGAGATCCCTCAAACTCAGATCCTCCTATCTATGTCTCCCGAGTAGCTGGGATTATAGAAGTGAGCTGCCATGCCCAGCTATGTTTTTAATTCTTTACAAACTCAGTTTTGAGAAAAGTAAGGTAGGGAGGAAAAATTAGTAGCCTGATTTAAGAAATAAAAAATATTGAAAAAAATGAATAGTTGTGTTTTGTTGTAAGTAATTCATCACAGGGTGAATCTTGAAAGCCAATGGTGAATAACCATACAGTCTGCCACACAGCTGATGACATACCAACAGAAGGAAAGAAACAAAAACCAAATCACTGGCGTCAGCAAACCCAAGGCGCCACTACTTCGGCATCTTATCTGCTTTAGAAAGGGACCAATCATAGAGACTGTGTGTAATCGCAGCAGAGCAGCCAGCCCAGGGCAGCGCCCACACTCCCTGAGCAGGTAACCAGAGCCTAGGGTGGGAGATAAAGTCTGATGTCAGATAAAGCAAAGAGCTGGGGAGGCTGGGGAAGAAGCCCAGACTCTGGGAGCCAGCACCACTCAGAATGTGCTGGGGACCCATGAGAACCCTAGCGGGCTTCCAGCCTAGAGCAGGTGAATTCAAAGAAGCAAAAACCCAGCTAGGAAAGTCCAAAGAATAGAAGACATTTAAAGGAAATTGAAAGAGTCGTTGGAATGAGACTTTAAGTAGTATGCTTATACATGTTGCTTTAATTCTGCTTCTGAGGGCACTTATTCTTGTATGTCAGCACGTATAAGCAGGTGTTTGACTCGCAGCCACACGCCTGTCTAGAACTGTTTAATTTTGAGCCATTTTATTTGGAACCTCTTGTAAGACCAGAGTTCTCTCTCACTCTCTGGATGGCATCTGGCTGATCCAACCATGGTACACCGAAGGTAACTTTATAAAGGATCCCTTTCTGTTCCTACGACATATCTTACCTAATATTTTTATACCTATTTAAAGGAAAAGGTCTATGGCCAGCTTCACTGGTATGCAGCCAGTCTGTAGAGAAGTCAAACTGACAGACCATCCAGTGACAAGACTTCAGTGGTGCCCTCCAACTTTGCCCCAGCTTTCCCCCTCCCTTCCTACAGCTCATTCGGCCCCAGCTGCAGGCTCTCCTCACAGGACACTTGCTCTG